ACCCTAACTAATACAATAGTACTTAGCTAACAAACCATATCTTGAGAAGTAACAGTTGCTGCAGATACATTAGGCATGTTGGTTTAAAAATCGCATTTACTAATACACGTGTACTCACCTCGCGTGCCCTATCCTCCCAAGTAACAGTGGCAGATATATTAGTCATGTTGGTTGACCCATTAACAAATGTTTCTAGAAAACCAACAATACGTTATTAAATGAAACTGGGTTTCACAAAGACGATAATTTGTCTAATGCACATTTACAAATAAGTTCATTGATTGTAGAAACCATATAACATATTGCATGGTTATTGTGATCGTCAATGGAAAAATAGATCTTATCAAATGTGTTGAAAACGCCTAAAATTGCTTGATTCGTTTGCTTGAATAAATTTAAAAGTGTAAGTAGTACATTTATCGTACAGTTTGTTTGTACATTTGGCACAGAAAGATGAAGGTTAACTGACCGTAGTGGAGTTCTATACCGTGAACATTTATAAATATTTTATAGAAAACAAGCTAATGCCTTTATGAAGCCTAGTGTATATATATAAACATAATTAAAGTACCTTGTTGTACAGTGGGTGGGTGCGTACATTTTAAAGTAGTGTTCATTTGGGTATACAGTCAGGCTTGTAATAGTTGTAGTTCTGTATTACTGTAGATCACGCAGTGGTAATGTATCTGATTATATGAGCAGTTCCTTTGTAAATGTGCATATTTTAAATAATAGTAAAATGTCAAAACCTGAAATGGAGTGTCGCAGCCATGTAATAGTTACAATTAATGAGTATGATACTATGATGTTACTGTCTGATACAACTTGCTCACAGAGCCAATTGATATGAATCACGTCATAGGCGAGTATAGACTTGCAAACAGCCTCTGTATTTTTTGAAGTATCCCGAAAGTCGCCATTTCAATACTCGCAGTTTGTTTTATTTTAGAGATCATTTTGCTGACCATCTTTTTTTTCTTTTTAAATGTTTTTGTGCCAGGCGACAGTTCTTTTTTGTAAGTGCAAATTGCAAGTGCTAGTGCTGACACATAGTACTTTTTGCCATAGAAGTCATTTCCTGTTTGGAACTACATGACAGGGCTGTGTGGCCATCTCTCTATCAAATGGCAATTTTAATGCGCTATCCTGGCGTCAACCAGACTCGGTCGAACACAAGCACATGTGGACCTTAACCAAGGTTCCCCCAAAGTCGCATTCGTTAGTTGCTGACCATCTGTAATAAACTCGACAGGACAATTTTCTTTAAATAGTTTCACTGAGTCATCATAATTCCAGGGATATAAGTTCACGGATATGTCTTTGTTGCTCAATTAGTTTTTTATGTTAACAAGAATCTTTTAATGGTTTAATGTTGGTAAATATTTTCACATGCTACCAATTTAGAAAGAAGGTCCACTGCTATTTGAAATAGACAATTAGGACCGATAAGTATGATAGTTAGGCAAATAATTCGGTAACTTTTATCTATGTACTACTGTATATAGCTCTGTTAGCTCCACTCTATGTTCGTGTATTCAATTTATATAAAATTAAATATGTTGTTTGTACAGTGTTGTTTGAAACAGTGCTTTTGATATTTTACGATGGCGAATGTTGGCGTGATAGAGATATTATAATGATTGAGATTAATTTATCGATATTTAATATATGAAGGGTGGCCATATTAAATTCACCCGGGCATAACATATTATGAAACAGTTTTTTTCTGATTCTAACAAAACAGTGATAAAATCACAAGCGTCTCCAACATAATGATCAATTGAGGTAATTTCAGGAATCCATCAACGTAATTCGGGAACATTCGACATGTTTGCTTGGAAAAAGCCCTGGCATACGCACATTTCAGTCAGAACCCATAGCATTGTTCCGGAGTAGTTGAAAAAGACTGAGTATCTTAGAATTGAACGATAATTTCGATTTCAAAATGGCCGTTTTATTTATCAAATATCGATTAGTTAATTTTATTATGTTATTAATTTTTGACAGCAAACTGTGAACATACAAATATTCGAATACGTACCTTGAACGCATTCCCATTCTGGTAACTTCATCGTTACGACTGCGGAAAAGTAGTAGACGATGCTAATTCCTTGAACAATTGGCAACCTGTAACGATATAAACATGAAGTGTACATAAATTTATAAATAAATAAATAAATAAATAAATAAATAAATAAATAAATAAATAAATAAATAAATAAATAAATAAATAAATAAATAAATAAATAACCCAGTAAGT